CCCAACAAGGAAGCAGTTTGTTAAGCTTTGTGAGCACTTATCATTGTATATGTTCGCTGTTCACTATATTACACATTGTCACCAACTTGAATGAACTATGTTGAATAACTTGTGCCTTATACTGACAAAAAGATCTTACATTTCCTAGTCTGTGCTTCATTTAATGCAGTGGTTCTTAAAGTGTAGCAGCCCATGGACCCTCATTCTGACTTAAATATTTTTCATAGACTCCCAAGCCCTCCCCTCCTTCCTTACTAATGCCCATCATGTGCTGCACAGCCTATCAGGGGACCCCTACTCAGGATCCCTTGGAAGGGAGCAGGTCAAGGAAGGACAAAATCAAAAAAGGTGAAGTGTGAGTCCTCACACCACAGAGTAGCGCCACTGCCAGACCTTTTCCACTAGCCAGACAGCCGGAGACGAAGGGACAAAGCCTCCAGCCCTCCTGGGACTAAGATCAAGACAGTCACCCTTGCAAGGAGGGATGTTTACAAGGCAAATTTCACAAAACAATCTGGTAGCTGTAGCCAATGCAGGCTACAGTACTGAATTCAGATTGAAGCCTCCTAGAATTCAAGAACTCCACAAAATATAAGCAAAGTGTTTCATTTTAAATGAAAGAGCAGTGAACAGTGAGGATAAAAATAACAAAGCTAGAAGTCTAAACTAAGCACATGTACAAGCATTGGTTCAAGATTCAAATATTACCAATAAGACTGAGTCCAATAGGATCCCCAAGTCCAAGACAAGGGTTCCAGTCAGTATGACCCACACAAAACAAAAAGTGACCCAAAGTCAGAAATAATCCAGATACAGGGCAAAACTAAAAGTCAAGAGCAAGCCATGCATGCCCCCATAGAGATCTCCATCCGCTAAACTAGGGGTGTCAAACGTAAGGCCCAGGGGCCAGAACCAGCCCATCCAGGGCTCTTATGTGGCCCACAAGCAACTAGTGCAAGGGAGAGAACAGGAGACTGCGGGGGGAGAGCCACTGCGATTATGGCTTTAGCATGGTGGAACAACCTCGCTTGCAGCAGTCAAGCAGTGTGGGAGCATCTGCCCAGTACTGCACCACTGGCTCTCCAGTCAACCCATATGAGTCTTCTTTTCCACCCCCTCCCAGCTAGGGTTGCCATACCCCCAAAGGGGGGGGGTTCCTCTGATTTCAGGGCTCCCAATTTGCCACTAGCCAGCTGACCAGTGAGGGGAGCCCCACCCCCAAAGAGCCCCATCCTGCCCCACATTGCGCAGGGACACTCTAGCATTTGGGTAAACTCTATGGTGACCATAGAGTTTTTTGCCCAAATGCTAGAGTGATCCACCAGAAGACTCTCAGAGCAAGACTCCCCCCTGCCAGCAACCAGGAAGGACCTAGCAACCCTACTCCCAGCCCATGAGGCCTTCAAATGAGCTTAGCAGCTGCTGTCGAAGCTTACCCACTGCTGTCCTTTATATAGTTTATTTCTCCGGTAACTGGCAATACATTTTGTGGCATATATGACCCAGCCCGACAAAGTGATACTTATGTCAGATCCAGCCCTCGTAACAAATGAGTTCAACACCTCTGTTCTAAACAATACAGTGAGAACTTCACCAGTTATACTTTAAAATAAAGTTTTAGTATAATGTTTGTACTGTCTGCAAGGTCAGATTTCAGAGGCAGATGGGTCTACAGGGCCATAACTCAAGACTCTGACTTAATTCTAATTGATCTGTCCCTTGTTTGCAAGAGACTTTGCACTATAGACTGTAAAAATCTTCCTTATGGGCCAGCAGAACAGTAGAAAGGAGTCGCAGAAATTTTCAAAGCTGCTCACAGAAAACAGAAAAAGACCTGTGTCACACAAAACTGAACTTACAGAAGGCAAATGAAAACTGCCATTGGTTCTTATCATCTATGGCCACAATATGACATACCTCTCAGTGGTTAAATCCTTTGCACTGGAAATAGAGAAACTAGCTCAACGTTATAGCTGGAAAAACTGTGATGACTGTATTAGGGCAGTATTGACAGGGCCACGCCGCCAATTAGATTTTGTAGAGGTGAGCCATCAATCAATCAGTATATTTTCCATCTAGTGCTCCCAGGTAATATAGAAGTCAGATGAACGCAGGTGGTAGGGGCTCTGAAAGCTTCCCTTCCACCCCTGAAAGAGGGGAAAGCAGATTCTACCTTCTTCCCCGATGCAGAGTCCCTGTTCTCACTCCTAGAAAACTGTGAGGGTTCTCTTTTCAAGTTTATTTATTTATTCAAACATTTATATCCTGCTTGGTAGCTTATGTCATAGTTAAAACATTACCATTTCAAACCAATAAAACCAATACCAAATATTTCCCCAATCCAAATACCTTACCGGTATTGGACCGGGAAAATTCGGCATTTACGAATATTTTGGGGGGAAAACCGGCATTTTTTTTTTTTTTTGCACACCGCTAGAGAAGATCTCAAAATCCCCCAGAACAACCTGGAAACCAACAGGATCCATTAATTTTCAAGGGTGGACCATTTGAATTCATCCACCAACCCTGCAGAGAGGAAACAGCAAGCTCAACATTAGTTGGATGAGAGGCACTTGCTCTGTGTGCTTATAGGGAGACCACCTGGAGTACCCTCATAAGAACATAAGAAAAGCCAATGTTGGATCAGGCCAATGGCCCATCAAGTCCAACACTCTGTAACACAGTGGCCAAAAATACCAGGTGCCATCAGGAGGTCCAGCAGTGGGGCCAGGACACTAGAAGCCCTCCCACTGTTGTCCCACCAGCACCAAGAATACAGAGCATCACTTGTCCCAGAGTTCCTAATAGCCACTGATGGACTTCTGGTCCATAGGCTTATCTAATTCCCTCTTGAAGCTGTCCATGCTTATAGCCACTGCCGCCACCTCCTGTGGCAGTTAATTTGGCAACAACAATATTAGCACTTTTGTATTATTGCTAACTGGTTTTAGCATTGTTTTAAATGTTTTAATTGTTTTATTGTAATATGCTGATTTTATGTAAGCCGCTCTTTGGGTACTTCCTTTTATCCGTTCTACCCTCGTGGACCCCAGTTTAAAAAACACTGAATTACTGAATCCCATATAAAGCAGAATAAACCTGACTATTTCCATATCTGTTCTAGTTCTATATCATTACAAAGAAAAGGCTATCAAAGAGGAGAAAATAATACCATTTAAAGTCAGACAAAATTAGCCTCTTCAACAAAAATGCAAGAGTTAACTGTATATTCCTGAATTAGTCTATTTTTAAAAAGACTGATTCTCTGGACAACAATCCATATTGCAACAGCATGCCACATGCTGTATGGCTTCAAAACCCTCATTCAAGGTGAACCAGATGTCAACTAATGTGGAAACTATATCACTTTCATTAATGTAGTAGTTTCACTAGGTCATGGTTGATTTCATGGGTTAGCAATTTATGGAATATTTCATCTTTCCTCACTACATCTGGCTAGAATATGAATAAGGGACCCTGCATTACAGGTCTGTAGCTCCTTCAAGACCATGAAAAACTTCTTGCAATTTTGACAGTGTGCATCACACCATTTAGCCAATTTCTAAATTGCCTGTTTTCAAGGTTAAGCAGAATCCTAAAGGCTTAAGGATTTTCATTCAACATTCATCAGCACATGCACATTGGAGGGAAAGTCCAATAACAGTTGGCAAGCTATCTTTTGGGCAGTTTGTCCATCAATACTGGTGCTCTCAAGAACTCCTAACAAACATAAAGGGATCCTTATTGCTCCATGGAATAGAGTTTGAAAACCAATGACCAGGGGAGAGGTAATTAGGAATTGTGATTTGTCCTCTTTTCACCAATACTAATTTCCATTTACCTAATATTGATTGAAGATATGATGGATTTATGATAGCGTAACAGCCATCTCAACATTATTCAAGTACAAGAGTGTCTGATGCTGGAGCTACTGTCAGACTATAACTGTGTTTACTACAGCACTCAGGTACACTGCTGTAATAGCACAAACGCAGAAGAACCCCAAGATATCTACAGAGGATCTCCAACAACAGCATGAAATTCTAGAAATTTTAAAGGTTAATAACTAATACTTCAGCTGTGTCTGTTTTCTAGGAATACATGGAACCAACTTAACTTTTTATGTCCTGATACCAATGAAATTAAAACAACTACTTAATATACAGGTATCATCTTATTACACTAATTAAATAATTCTACAGAATTAGTAAGCAGTACAGATTTATAGGCCACTGAAGACCCTACTAAATTCATTTGACACATTTATTTTCTCAGTACATAGTCCTGAGTATATGTTTCTCTTCCCTAAAAAGATAATAATAAAGCCTGCATTTCAACTACTCAAAAGATACTGAAAATGGTATTCCACATGAGCTTAAGTATTTTGCTAGAGTAAATTGAGTAAATGCATGAGATGTCTTTAAAATATAACTAAAAGCATCTAAAAGACTCTCTGGATACGTAGTATTCAAGCAATTGCAGATTCATTTGACTTACAGCTAACTAAATTCTTTAAAGCTGCACACAAATATTTTCTTTCACTGTCTCTGAATAAAACTTGGATACAATTAGACCCTATCAAGGCTAAAAAGATTAAACAAAAGAGCAAAATTATAGAGTATACATAATTGCTTTCAAAACAAACAATGGCATCCCTCCATACTACATTATTTTTTCTCCTAATTGAAAGTTTGCTTTTACAGCTCTCTCTTGCTTGCTGATTTGTGGACTTTGTTGTTCACTAGAAATTGCCAGAGTTTAGGCTCTGTTGTATTAAGAGATATTAAAATCAGTCCAGTTGAAATACTACATCTTTTTAATGTTTAAAATGAGACAGCATAGATAGTGTTTTAATTAAAGTGGAACATATTTCACCACAATGTGAACATACAATGTCTCTAGAGTGTTTTCTAAAAATGACACACTGTCTCTATGCTGTAGATGCTGCACCTTTAAATAATCAAGTTAATTTAAAGCAGTCAGAGGATTCATTTGCTTACTTGTATCCAGCTGTTGGCCTTCAATTCCACAGGGTTCTGTGGTTCACCACTGTACAGACAACATAAGCACCACATTAGACTCTTCTGGCATTCATCTACAGATAGCAAAGCAAATAAGAACTTTTAAAAAATCAAAGCAGAAACTTACACACACAGCAATAGTAATATTTTACTTACATTAATAAACAAAGCATCAAAGTCAGCCTTTATTTTTATTTTTTATGATGGGATTTCAAAGTCACTCCATTCTTCCCTTATTGTAATTAATATTAATAAACACAAGCAGAATTAACATTATACATACTTTAGCATGCTTTAATAGAAAAGCAGTCCAAAACATTTATAACTAGTTTTTTACAATTTGCTTCCCCCCTTCCCTTATTTATTAATATACTGAAGTATAGATAAAAATATGAATTTATACAAAAAAACCCATACTATATCAATTTCAAGTACGTTAGTGCTACAATTCTAAGAAAACCATTCAAGAGTACCAAGTAGGATTCAGAATAGATCTGTTGAGGATTGCTCTCTAAGTGGCATTCCTTCTCCCATCATTATTACAACTGAACTCCAAACCTCTCATTAAATTCTGATGTTGTAGCAGTGATGTTTGATAAGCAGAAAGCACAACCAAAATAAATTCCACAATTTTCCTAGCCATTCAGTTTTTCCTAACAGAAAGACTGATGCACATCATTTTGCAAATACTAGCCTTGCTAGCACTAAATCATATAAAAATATTGAGGGAATCACTTTCACATTTCTATTTTCAACAAGTTAAAACTACATTCATGGGAAAAAAACACTACAAAGGGTGGCTAATGCTTTTAATGATATATTTCCTATTTGTTATAAAGATTTGTAAAGACCTAAATCAGAGGTTGGAATCAGATAATACAGTGCAATTAAAGATAAGTAAATTAGCAAGAACTGGAAACAGCATACTGAAGACAACCCATCTTATTTTTTTTTATATATATATATAGCACTTTCTACCAAAATTTCCCTCCCATAAACGCATCGTCTTATCTAGATTAGGGATGGGCATGAACCAGATCAGGATGGCCCCCCCACATGCTAGACACACCAAACTTGCAGCAAATCTCTGTCTGACTCTCCTCTATCTCCTCTCCAAATTTGGTGAGGATTGGATTTATAGGGTCCGAGTTACACCCACCCAAACAAAGGTGCCCCCAGGAAAGTGCTTTCTGGGGAAATGTGGTGCAGGTTCACAAGGTTCAGGAGTGTATGGAATACCCACCCACCCCAACATGCTGGAAACACTAAACTCGCAGCTAATCTCCAGCTGACTCTTCTCTACCTGCCCTCCAAGTTTGGTGAGGACTGGATTTATGGGAGCAAGTTATGCCCCCACCCAAGAAAGTGTCCCTATATTCCATTGTTTTCAATGGAGGAGAGAAAAACAGCAAAAAAAAGCAAGGGCAGAAGCCCAGCAGAACAGAAACAAAATCAAAGTCCCTGAGAATCTCTCCAGTATAAACTGAAGGTGGGGGGTATTCCTGCCAACCCATCAGAACCAGGGCAATGTGCCCTGAGACTCAAACCAAACCAGCATGCAATGCCATATGTAAACATGGTGGCTTGAAGCCCTGAGAAGGAAGTAGAAACGGTGGCTCAAAAGCCCTAAGACATAGTCAGACATGGTGGCTCAAAGCCCTGAGAAGGAAGTAGACATGGTGGCTTGAAGCCCTGAGACATATGTAGATGTAGTGGCTACAAGTCCTGAGTCCAGCTCTGACAGCCAAAGACCAAGCATGCAACAATGTCTGTAGACATGGTGGCTCCAATCTCTGAAAAGGGTTGACCAGTCAGAGCAATCTTCTCCTCAATGAGGCGAGCGAGTGATTGCTTCAGGGGTTCCAAAGGACAGACAGGATGCAGAATTGTTCCCACGGCACGGCTGGGAAACGAGGCCCCATGGTTGGAGCAGGTAGAAGGCACAGCTGCTTTCACAGCTCTGTATCCACCTTAGACTCACACCACCTGAACCAGCGTGCAACAACATATGTAGTTGTGATGGATCGAAGCCCTGATACATTTGTAGATGTGGTGGTTCCGAGGCCTGAGTCCTCCGCATGAATGCAGGAAAAGCAGACCCAGATGCAAAAAACTTGCACATCCCACAGCATAGAGCACAGGAGATCACTAGTGGGGGGGGGGGGGATATAAAAACATCAAAAAGCAA